TTTCAGCTCCTCCTCCCATTTAGTCTTTGTTTTCCCGTTTCATTTCCTTTTTGTGTTAACATCTACACATCTGGCAGCATTGAGAATTCCTAGTGACCGCCATTCCAGGCAGCAGCTTTGAGAAGGTGGTTGCCGGCGACCCCTGGCAGGTCCCTTCTCCTGGCTCCTCAGCGGGAGGCGCCCTGTGTCAGGGCTGCGGCTGCTGCGTGTCCTCGGGCAGTTCTCAGTGGCCTTTGCCGCCAAGCTTCCAGGGAGATGCTGGGTGAAGGCTGAGGCCCTGCGGCCCTGAGTCACAGTCACAGAGAGAAGAGCTCCCCACTTGGCCCAAACTGATAACCTGCCTCATTCCCGGAAGATTTGGTGAGGCCTAACAGATGCACACCACATAACATCTCAGGGGTGAACCAAGGCAGAGCAATGTAGTGGAGCCTGAAGGGAGCCAGGCACTGCTGCAGGGGGCCGTGCACAGGGCACCCTCAGGCTCGCTTCCCCGCCAGAGGAGCCGAGGCAGCCTGGCGTGGGCAGCACCTGCACGCCGGGGCCTCTGCTGCGCCTCTGCAGTGGGAGTGGAAGCCCCTCCTCTTAGCCGACTGCAGGCCTGAGTGACTGTTCTGCTCATGGTTATTTTGTTTCAGGGGTTTTTCTGTAAAACTGAAGACGACTTCAATGATTGGTGCCAGCAAGTTAAAAAGGTATGTCGCTGCCCCGCCACTCACCACCGAGCTGAGCCAGGGAGACAGGCAGCGGGGCATGCAGGGGCTGAAGGCCGGCGTCCGGGTCTCAGGCAGCCTCACTGGGCTGTGGGGAGCCTTGTCCTGCCTGGCACAGCTGTGCAGCTGAACAGAATGGGGCATCCTGGATCGCCCCCCTGGCAACACAGCAGCCCTAGCGACGAGTGCTTCATGCTGACTTTAGAGTGGATTTCCAGCGCCCTTGTCTGTCTGCTGTTGAGATGGGGGTGGTGATGGGGTGCCGAGCTGCGCTGGCTGAGTATGTGCAGCCTGCCCCTCTCTGTCACTGTGGTCAGACTGTGCCGGGTGTTGGTCACCGTATTGGGCTCTTGTGTAGCCTTCAGTGTGGAAGCTGCCTGTTTTCTCATCCGTGAAGTGGGATGACAGTCGTGTTTGTCCCCTGGCTGTGCTGGCCGGCCCCGTTCTCTTGGCTGCAGGGAGCCCTGGGGTGAGGTTGCACCTAACAGCCATGTCTCCCTCACAGCTGTCTCTGCTCGGAGGTGCCCTGCCCATGTTTGAGCTGGTGGAGCAGCAGCCTTCACACTTGGCCTGCCCCGACGTCCTGAACCTGTCCCTAGGTGAGCGCTGCAGCTGCAGGGCCAAGCCCGGTGGGGCCCCTCGGTGTGCAGTCTGTGCCCTTCTTGCTTCCCCAGCCCTGGCCCCCGCGGTTTTGACCACTAAGGTGTGTGTGAGCCTGAGCCGTGAGCAAGTTGGCGGTGGTTGGCCTGCAAGGCCAGGCGCAGAGTGGAGTGTCCCCTCCTCCGAGCCTTCGCCCAGCATCCCGGGACCTGCCTTACCTTCCCCACCTGTGGTGCCTGCCCTGGGCATGTGGAGCTGGGTGTGCTCCCATGGAGTCCTCAGGGCTCTGGAGCAGACAGAACACAGAGGCCTGTGATGACACCGTCCTGGCTCGGGGACTGTTCCACTTCAGTACCACTGGCCATGGGTGGTGCAGACCCCTGGGACCATGGCCAGCGTGGTCAAGGAGCCAGCCTGGGCTCGCGCAGGGAAGCAGGTGTGTGGCCGTGAGCACGTCCTCCTCATCCGTCTCGCTGTGAAAAACCGCGAGGCAATGGACCCACACAACTGACGACCACAGAGGGCTGGGTGCAGCGAGGGAGACACGGGACAGATTGTGCAGGCCGCCCCCGCCCTCCTCACCACGACCCCTTCCCTTGTACTCCATGCGCTCTGGGCCCCTCAGGGTGGGCTGCAGACCAGGGTTCGGTCTGCCCCCACCCCAAGGGCGCTTCACTCACACCCAAGTAGTCTCCCCGAGATGACTGATGAGCTGTGTCCTGTCCCTTCTAGATTCTTCTGATGTAGAGCGACTGGAAAGATTCTTTGACTCAGAAGATGAAGACTTTGAAATCCTGTCCCTTTGAAAATCCTGGGGTCGGGGGTTGGCGCCTGCGAGAGCCGGGCCCTGTCTCGGGTTCTGTCCATCCCGCCCGCTCGCTTGCCGAGGGCCGTGCCCCGTGCCGCCTCCCCCGGGGGCTGCCTGCTCTGCTCGTGGACTGAGGCTGCGCTGCCTGCGAGGCCTTACTGCTTGGTGTCAGGCTGCCCAGCCCAGAATGCCTGTCCGGGCCTGTGCATCCGCACCCGGAGCCGACGGTTAGGAGCTTCCAGAGCGTTCTCGACACTGCCAGCCCCGCGCTTGCACCTGGGCCTCAGTCTCACTTGCTTCCAGGCACCAGTTCTGTGGTTGGTTTGGAATTAAAGTCCTGTTTGAAGTTGTCAGGCACAGACATGAATTTCTGGGGCACCTCCTGAGTCCGAGTCTCAGAAGACTCTCTGCAGGCTGGTGTGAGAGGAGCGACAGCCATGCTGCGGCCCCAGGCCCGAGGACTGGGCTGCTCTCGAGGGGGGTGCCCACGGCTGTGTCCTCTCTGCCCAGCCTGGCTTATCAAGGGCTACCTCAGTGGGAGGTGAGGTTGGAGGAACAGAGGCAAGGCTTCTCCTTGCTTTAGGGAGAACAGTGTTCAGGGAGTGGGTGTATGGGAAACCCAAAGACATGGATGTGCACAGGGCGTGGCGTGGGCAGCCTGGGCAGAAGGGCAGCTGCTGGGGCCGCTGTCCTCAGAGCGTCCCTTTCAAGGGCTGTGGTATCCTGTGGCGCAGCTGTGGCTGATTTGTCCCTCCAGCTTCCCCAGGGGTGGTGAGGGGCAGGGCGGGGCCTCCACCTGTGACAGTCGTGCTCAAGGGTGGACAGCACCACTCCCAGGAGCTTTCCCGTGTCCTTGCCTTGCTGAGAAGTGCCCTCTTGTGTCACTGAGGTTTTAGGTGACTTGGGGCCAAAAGGGAAAAACCACTCGAGCCTTGCAGCATGTGATGGCAGACACCACAGGGTGGCATCACCTGGTGGCATTTTCAGAACCTCCTCATCCCTGATTCTAGCACCCACCACCGCCTGACCCTGTGTAACCTGCTGTCCTGGGTCCCCAAGTGCGTTCTGCCCCACTGCTCTGCCGCCTGTCGTGGGAAAGTGGGTTTGTTTGCCCCACTAGGAAATGTAAGCAGGAGGGCTTGGGGAGCGTGGGTGTGGTGGGCTGCAGATGCCTCTCTCACGAGCACCCGCCTCGGTGCCCGCACAACTTGCTACTGCCTGTATAGGACAGGCCCACCAGGTGGCAGAGGACACTCCCAGTCCCCCAAGCGTTGATGAGATGGTTTATTTCCTCGTATCCGTTCTCCCTTGGGTGTAGTTGGGGGGGGGGGAGGAAGGCGTGGGCGCAGGATCTCCACTCCTGGGGCTCTGTGTCCGAGTCCACGGTGTGCTGCTGTGCTGGGCTGTGGGGCTGCTGCGTGGAAGTGGTGGAACCCCCTGACCGAAGGGGAGCCTTGTCTTGCGTGTTTTGAAAAAGGCTTAACAGAGAATGTTGTTCATTCTTAGTAGTATAGTTTGCAATTCTTAATGGCAAATAATAAGTTTCAGTAGAAAACAAACCTTGTGTGTATTTTTTACTCAAGTTACAACTGAATGATTTTCAGAAAAAAATAAGTGAGCGTCGCAGCTGATAGCATCACACGCAGAGGATGTGGCTGCTGTGGCAGCTGTGGGGGCATGAGCAGGTGCCTCCCTAGCCCTGGCAGGGGGCCCGTCCTGCCTGAAGCCTGGCTCTCTAGGGAACGTGTCATCGGTCCCCTCATACAACCCTGGAAGGAAAGAGTCCAAGGAAAATCAGATTTTAGGAAAGTCAGATGGTGCTTCCCATTCTTAACATGAGGAAGCTGCAGAAAGCACCACAAGGTGTCTGGTTTGCCTCAGCTTGAAGCACAGTAAAGCAGTGACTGCCGGGGCACAGCAGGGGGCTTGGGGGGACGTCGCTCACTCTGGCCCGTGCATCCCTGTGGGCAGTCGTGGTACAGACATGAAGCCCCAAAGCCAGGCAGGAGGGGGCACTGCGAGGCCCTGGTGAGCTGGCTGAGGACTTGTGTTCTCTCAAATGCTCGTATTCGATTCTCGTGGCTGCTCTGACAGGACGACATTCAGTGCCTGGAACAGCACAGCCTCTTCCTGACCGTGCTGTGGGCAGGGCTGCTCCTCTAGAGACCCTAGGGGAGAACATTTCCATGTCTTTCCCAGCTCCTGGATGCCAGGAATTGCTGGGCTCATGGCTCTTTCCTCCAACCTCACAACCAGCAACACAGCATCTCTCCAGCTTCTGCTGCTGGCATCACACTTCCTGTCTCGGCCCCACCTGCCTCGGTTATGTGGACCCGTGATGAGCCGGGCATGGTGGCACACGCCTGCAATCCCAGCACTTTGGGAGGCCAAGGCAGGTGGATCACTTGAGCCTAGGAGTTTGAGACCAGCCTAGCTGGCAACATAGCAAAATCCTGTCTCTACAAAAAATGAGCCAGGCATGGTGCACAGGCCTGTAGGCCTAGCTACTCAGGAGGCTGAAGTGAGAGGATCACCTGAGCCAGGAGGTCAAGGCTGCAGTGAGCTACGATCTTGCCCCTGCACTCCAGCCTGGGCAACAGAGACAGACCCTGTTTCCAAAAAAATAAGGGATGGGATGAAAAGCTCCGGGGTTGCAATGAAACAGCAGAGTTAACTTGGGTGTACTGAGGACGTAAGCTCTGCTGACGCTCTGGCATGGCATGGCTGCGACTGTTCAGACCCACGGGGGAATTCCTCAACTAGGCAGGAACCAAGGTCCAGAAAGCCCTACAGGGCCCAATGACGGCTCTTCTGCCCTGGGATGGAGATTCCCATTCAAAGCCAGCTCAGTCCTTAGATGGTATCTAAGAAAAATCTACAAACAATTTTCAGGTCAATTTTTACTAGTGTCTGGAAGACATTTCAGAGAGAATTCTGACTGATTGATTGCCATTTACAATGATCGCAATGAAACTGCTCAGAGTTGCCACTGAACATCAGTAAGAAAATACAACAGTATCATCAGGACAAGGAGGAGGGCAGGAGACTGCTCCATCGCTCTGCTCGTGTCCACACCGCCAAGGTCCCCACCACAGGGGTCCCCGGTGCACCCCAACTCTGGGTCAGGAGAGGCAGCCTACATATCTCTGCTACCAGGAAAGAGCTGAAGTCGTGGAGCGTGGGCACCGCTGGGGACGCGGGCCTTCCACAGGTCTCCCACCTCGTGAGGGACTGCAGGGCGAGGTGTCCAGCCTGGGGTCACTTCCACAGCTCCCCCAGCGGCTTCTCTGTGGCGGTGTGGATGGCGTCCTCAGAAAGCACAAGAATGTCCTCATGGACAGCTTCAATGCTTTTGGAAGCATCCACCATCTGTTCCCACAGGGGTTTCAGAAAAAGAAGCTCATCAGCACCTTCCAGGCTGGGCATGGGAGCCCACGCCTGTAATCCCAGAACTTTGGGAGGCCCACAAGGGAGGATGTGCTCAGGAGTTCAAGACCAGCCTGGACTGCATAGGGAATCCCCATCTCTACGGGCACCACTGTACTCCAGCCTGGGTGACACAGTGAGACCCTGTCTCAAAACCATGGTTCATTCTGTTCTCTGCGTGTGGGGCTTTCACAAGCCAGGCTCCGGAAGGCCAATCTGAACCTCCTGGCCAGTGTGGTGACCTCCAGGACCCTTCACTCTACTCTTTTTTCAGAACCTCAACCATAACAGTCCATGACATAGAGCCACCAGGCATTCCTGCACAGCCCTGACATAGGAGAAACACGGCGAGCCGCCTGCCCACGCTTGCTCTCCTTGTGACCCCAACCCTAGCAAGTGCCCGCCTGCAGGAGTGAGGCACAGCCAGGCCGACCCAGCCCACCACGCACACCAGGTCGGGGTGACCGTCCCTCCAGCCCGAGAGCGGGTACTCGGAAGAACAGAGGGCAGGCCCGTGCTCCTGTGGCCCCCCGCAGGGCCTGGGCACGGCCTGGAATGTGAGAAAGTTCCATTACAGAAGCCACATGGCGGGACCAAGGCAACACTGGGCCTGCCTCGTCCCCGAGGGAAAGATGAATTTGGTCCTAACAGCTGTGCCGCACCCTGGCGTGAGTGGCTCGAGGAAGACGGAGAGGGAGTCGGCCCGCAAGAGAGACTTCTCTCCCCCAGAAGGCAGGCACGCGAGGGGCTCAGAAGCACTGCCGTCTCAGCAGCATCCCGGCTTCTGTGGCTGGGTTGAGCAAGACCCTTCTCAAGCCTCTGGGACAGCAAGGTCTGGAAAACCTGCCAGGGCATCGAAGGTACTCGAAGACTAACCATTTCACGAAGTGTGACCATGATGAAAAGAGAGTGACTCCCTACACATGGCCACCTTCCCAGATGCCACTTGCTGGCCAGGGTGCCGCCACACAGCTGTCACCCATAACCGTCCAGGACGGGCCTCTCCAGGCAACTGACTGCCAGAGACTGCAGCACTGCCGCAGAGTGCACTGCCACCCAGCCTGTGTTCTGGGAAACCGACGGCTGTGTGGCCGGCAGCATCTGCAGGCAGTCGGGCTGGGGTGAGACCCTCGGCCCTGCTCTGGTGGAGGAGCTCAAGGGACCGAAGCTCTGCAGGCCACGGCCACAAGCCACAGTGCTGATGCTCGATGTGCTGGAGGCGCTGGCTGCTGGAAATAGGCTGTGCTGGGCAGTGCTAAGCACGGGCACCCAGAGTCTGGGAGAGAAGTGGGGGCTGCAGTTGGGAGGAGCAGAGGTGGTCAGCTGCGTGTCCTCTGCGGCGGGGAGTCCAGCATCCTGGGAGTGGACGGAGAGTTGGGGTGGACTCCTGGAACTGCTGAGACGGAAGGATGCATGGCTGAAGGGAAAAGGCCAGCACATAGCGCCATCCTGAACTCCAACGGCCAGGTGCAGCTGCAGGGCCCCACGCCAGCAAGAGGCTGCACCAGACGACACAGTGGCAGGACCAGGCTGGCGCTCAGGTCTGAAGAGGGGCCGTGGATGTGGAGGACTGTGCACTCTCACCCGACCCACCAGACCAGGTGTCAAATGTCACCATTGTGTAAAACTCACCAGAGGATTAGAATTTGCTGGCACTAGGCTGGCCGTGGTGGCTCACGCCTGTAATCCCAGCATTTTGGGAGGCTGAGGCGGGTGGATCATGAGGTCAGGAGTTCAAGACCAACCTGGCCAAGATGGTGAAACCCCATCTCTACTATAAATACAAAAAAATTAGCCAAGTGTAGTGGCAGGTGCCTGTAATCTCAGCTACTCTGGAGGCTGAGGGAGAGAATTGCTTGAACCTAGGAGGCTGAGGCTGCAGTGAGCCAAGACTGCACCATTGCACTCCAGCCTGGTTGACAGAGCGAGACTCTGTCTCAAAAAAAAAAAAAAAAAAAAAAAAAAAGATTTGCTGGCATGGGCCTGGTGCAGTGGCTCACACCTGTAATCCCAACACTTTGGGAGGCCGAGGTGGGCAGATCACCTGAAGGTCAGGAGTTTGAGACCAGCCTGACCAACATGGTGAAACCCTGCCTCTACTAAAAATTAAAAAAAAAAAGGAATTTGCTGGCACTGAGAATCCCTGAACAGCTGCTCCTGGGGCTCCACATCTGGGAAGACCAGACAGAAACGGCAGCAGCTCTGCTGGCACAATTGCTGCCGTCACCGCAATTAACCCTGAGCCACTTCTCAGTGATTCCTAGTGTGCAGTTCTGAGCCTCACCTTCCAGTTCACGGTCGTGTCTCTCATGAGCTGGTGGAAACACTGCAGCGCACGCTCCTGGAAAGCCCCGTTCTCATAGCGCTCATGGCCAAACGTGCTCCGCTTGGCAGCATCCGCCAACTGTAACTGGAGGAACAGGACCAGGTCGGGTTTGGGAAGGCCCACGTCTGGCTGCTTACACCAATCTAGGGAAAAATTCTGCCAACAAAGAACCCAACAGGTAAAGCTTAGTGTGGTCTAGATTTTCGTTTCAAAAATCATAAAAATGGGAAAAAATGAGGGGACATTTAGTGCGGTACCAAAAGTGAGACTGTTCATAACGGTTTTTTTTTTTTTTTTTTTTTTTTTTTTTGAGATGGAGTCCGACACTGTCGCCTAGGCTGTAGTGCAGTGGCACAATCTCCGCCTCCTGGGAGCAATCCTCTTGCCTCAGCCTCCCGAGTAGCTGGGACTACAGGTGTGTGCCACCACGTCCAGCTAAGTTTTTTGTATTTTCAGTAGAGATCAGGTTTCACCATGTTGGCCAGGATGGTTTCAATCTCCTGACCTTGTGATCTGCCCGCCTTGGCCTCCCAAAGTGCTAGGATTACAGGCGTGAGCCACCACACCCAGCCCCCTTTTTAATTATTAAAATCTCAAATGTATTGCTTTCTCCGATGTCATCTTCTTGTAAATACATGCACAAGTGGATGGAATAGTAGGTAGAATGGCTCCTGGTCCCCGTCACACACAGCCCAGGCCCCACGGAGGCCCTTCCAGTGCAGCTACAGGCCTGCTGGCCAGGAGGGGCAGTCTCTGTACGCTGGAGACCTCTGGCCCAGGACGCCTCCCTTAGCCTGTCTCCCCCCTAAAATGCTGTTGTGTTTCTGGAGGAACGGTAGGACAGAAAGGCTGTGACTCCAGGCCACATAGCACACGGCACCATGAGCTGAGGGAAGGTGTCCACCAGCACCTCCTACCAGGCCTGCGGCTGTTGGCTGATCCCCACAGCAGGAAGAAGTCCTCCTTACTATGTAAGTTAATACTTCAGAGGGGAAGGACTGAAGCTAACACATGAAGAAAGGGCAGAATTTAAAAGTTAGAGCGGTTATCATGAAAAATAACCAGACGTTATCCTTTTTACTGTCTCTTTAAGGGACAGAGCTGGACGCAGCGGCTCACGGTTGTAATCAGCACTTTGGGAAGATGAGGTGGGAGGATCACTTGAGCCCAAGAGTTGAAGGTTATAGCGAGCTTTGTTCCACTGCACTCCAGCCTTGGTGACAGAGGGAGACACCCTCTCTCAAAGGGGGAAAAAAGTTCTACCAATGAACCATCTTTGAAAATGCATCTGGAGGCTGGGTGCAGTAGCTGACGCCTATAATCCCAGCACTTTGGGAGGCTGAGACAGGTGGATCACCTGAGGTCAGGCGTTTCAGACCAGCCTGGCCAACGTGGTAAAACCCTGTCTTTACTAAAAATATGAAAATTAGCTGGGCATAGTGGCATGTGCCTATAATCCCAGATGCTCGGGAGCTGAGACAAGAGAGAGCTTGAACCTGGGAGGCAGAGGTTGCAATGAACTCAGATTGCGCCACTGCACTCCAGCCTGGGTGACAGAGTGACACTATGTCTCAAAAAAAAAAAAAATGTATGTGGAAAATATCATCCAAATAACAACTATGATTCTATCTGTGAAAACAATCTTTAGCTATAAAAATGTTTGCTCTTGATAAAACCAAATTGCCAGGCACAGTTGCTCACGTCTGTAATCCCAGCACTTTGGGAGGCCAAGGCAGGTGGATCACCTGAGGTTGGGAGTTCAAAACCAACCTGGCCAACATGGAGAAACCCCGTCTCTAGTAAAAAATACAAAATTAGCCGAGTGTGGTGGCATATGCCTGTAATCCCAGCTACTCAGGAGGCTGACACAGGAGAATCGCTTGAACCCAGGAGGCGGAGGTTGTGGTATCCGAGATCGCGCCATTGCACTCCAGCCTGGGCAACAAGAGCGAAACTATGTCTCAAAAGAAAAAAAAAAGATAAAATCAAATTAGCAAAGAGATAAAAGGAATGTAAGAATCACAAAACTGCAGAGTGACTGAAGGCATGTCACTCGTGCTGCAACAGGCGCATTCAAGAGCAGCCCTGGGCCCACACACCTGTGCTTGCCTGACAGGGGGCCAAGTGCACTCACCTCCTTGGCACCCGAGAAGGCCACACCAGAAAATGCGTATCTGTCCATGACGAGGGTCACACCCTGGCTCAACTTTTCCTTAATTAACGGCCTGAAAAACAGAGGATGCTCCTGAGCCCCGGTCCTGGTTTCATAGGCCTTGAACTGTCTGTCTGTCATGCTTAAATTATCCCAATAATACAACTCAAACCCCCCCCCCCCCCCACGACAAGTATAGCACGGTGATTTGTAACCTGATTTTTATTCAAAAAGGCTCTGGATCTTCTCTGGAAGATGCCACAATGCACTCCACGCCCCCCTCCAGCAACCCAACATGAAAAGATAACCTCAGTAATAGTGACAAACACAACTGGTAAAGTTCGATGTTCCAGAAACAATGCAGGGGAAGCAGCAATGTCAGGGCAGATTTGTCTGGGCAGAGGCCAGCACCACCCTGTGCAGGAAAAGGAAAGCACAGGCCAAGAGAGCCTGGGGTGGGGAGGGAGCCACAGCCAGCAAGTGACGCGATCGTCCATGCTCTTGGCCCCTCGCCTGGACTGCAGGGATGCTCTCAACCAAATACCACAGGCCCACCAGCACCCTATAGCCCCAAGATCATGGATGTACAAAGACATGGGGCCTTATACTACCGAGCAGCCTTGCTCAAGCCAGAGAAGGAAAAGTCAGACTCATTTGACTCAGCCAGTCTCACCGGGGTCTTCGAATCATAGGGGCACCTGCATAAGGAGTCAACTGACCTCTGACAAAGGAGCAGAGGGTTGTGATGGCGCAAAGGCAGTCTCCTCAACAAACGCTGCTGAACAACCAGACGTCCTCATGTAACAGCATAAATCTAGACCACACTGTTTACCCGCCACAAATTCAAAACGAATCACAGACCCAGATGTAAAATGCAAAACTGTCAAACTCCTAGACAGTAACGCAGGAGAAAACTTAGATCACCTGGGTTTTGGCAGACTGTTTAGATAAAAAACTAAAGGAACAACCCATGAAAGGATTAAGATGGACTTCACTAAAATAAAAAGTTTGTGCTTTGTGAGACACACTGTCAAGAGAAGGAAAGGAGAGCTGAGTGTGTGGCTCACGCCTGCAACCCAGCACATCTGGAAGCTGTGGTGGGATGGATCCCTTGAGGACAGGTGTTTGAGACCAGCCTGAGCAACAACAGTGAGACCTCATCTCTACAAAAAATGTAAAAATGAGCCAGGTGTAGTGGCATGCACCTGTGGTCCCAGCTACTCCAGAGGCTGAGGTGGGAGGATCACTTGAAGCCAGGAGTTTAAGACTGTGGTAAGCTGTGATCATGCCATAACATTCCAGCCTGGGCAACAGAGCAAGACATGTCTCTTTATTAAAAAAAAAAAAAATGACCGGGCAGGCAGGGTAGCTCATGCCTCTAATCCCAGCACTTTGGAAACCAATGCAGGACTGTTGGGTCCAGGAGTTCAAGACCAGCCTGGGCAACAAAGTGAAACTTTATATCTACAAAAAAAAAATTTACAAAAATTAGCCAGGTGTGTTAACGTGCTTGTAGTTGCAGCTACTTGGGAGGGTAAGACAGGAAGACACTTGAGCCCGGGACGTCGAGGCTGCAGTGAGCTGGGACTGCACCACTGCACTCAGTCTGCATGACAGAGAGACCCTGTCTAAAAAACAAAGAAAGAAGAGACAGTGAGAAAATTGAACACAAACCACAGCCTAAGGGAAAATATGTACAAAAGACACATTTTATAAACGACTGGTATCTAAACCATACAAAGAACTCTTAAAACTCGAAAATAAGAAAACCCCATTAAAAAGTGGGCCAAGGCTGGGCATAATGGCTCATACCTGTATTCCCAACAGGGAGGCTGTTGGGAATTGGGAGGCTGCGGCAGATTGACCACTTGATCCCAGGAATTTGAGACCAACCTGGGCAATACGGTGAAACCACGTCTCCTCAAAACAAAAATACAAAACTGGCCAGGCACAGTGGCTCATGCCTGTAATCCCAGTACTTTGGGAGGCCAAGGCAGGTGGACCACCTGAGGTCAGGAGTTCAACACCAGCCTGGGCAACAGGAAACCCCATCTCTACTAAAAATACAAAAATTAGCCAGGCTTGGTGGCAGGCACCTGTAATCCCAGCTACTTGGGAGGCTAAGGCAGAGGAATTGCTTGAATCCAGGAGACGGAAGTTGCAGTGAACCATGATTGCCCCATTGCACTCCAGCTTGGGCAACAAGAGCAAAACTGTCTCAAAAAACAACTTAGCATGATGGCATGCACCTGTAGTCCCAGCTACTTGGGAGGCTAAGGCAGGAGAATCGCTAGAGCCTGGGAGGTAGAGGCTGCAGTGAACCAAGACTGTGCCACTGGACTCCAGCCTGGTTGAGACCATGTCTCAAAACAAGAGTGGGCCAAAGCACTTAACAGATATCTCATGAAACCAGATACACAGATGGCAAATAAGCATATGAAAAGATGTTCCACATCATATGCCATCAGAGAAATGCAAACTAAAACAGATCCCACAAACCCCTATCAGAATGGCAACAATCCAAACACCAGCACCACCAAATGCTGGTGAGGATCTGAGCAATGGGAACCCTCATTCACTGCGGGTGAGAATGCAAAATGCTGCAGCTGCTTTGGAAGACAGTTTAGCACAAGCTTGTCCAATCCGAGGCCCACAGGGTGCATGCCGCCCAACACAAATTGGTAAGCTTTGTTAAAACGTTATCAGTCTTTTTTTTTTTTTAAAGCTCATCAGCAAGTGTTAGTGTATTTTATGCGTGGCCCAAGACAGTTCTTCCAGTGTGGCCCAGGAAAGCCAAAAGACTGGACATGTTGAGCGTTCTTTAGAAAAATAACAGGCTTACCATATGTTAAAGCAATGGTGCTCCCTGGCATTTACCCAGAAGAGGTGAAAGCTTATGACCACACAAAATCCTGCACGCAGATGTTTATAACAGATTTATTTATAACTGCCAAAAGTTGGAAGCAATGAAGAGGTCCTTTAGTAGGTGAATGAACTACGGTACATCCAACAATGGACTATTAATTAGGACAAAAAAGAAATGAACTATTGGTCGGGCAAGGTGGCTCATGCCTGTAATCACAAGCACTATGGGAGGATCACTTGAGGTCAGGAGTTTAACACCAGCCTGGCCAACATGGTGAAACCCTGTCTCTATTAAAATATAAAAATTAGCTGGGCATGGTGGTACATGCCTGTAATCCCAGCTACTCAGGAGGCTAAGGCAGGAGAATTGCTTGAACCCAGGAAATGGAGGTTGCAGTGAGCCGTGATTGGGCAACTGCACTCCAGCCTGAACAACAGAGCGAGACTCTTGTCTCAAAAAAGAAAAGGAAATGAACTGTCAAGCCATGAGTAGACACAGAGGAAACTTAAACATCTATCAGTGAAACAAGCAACCTGCAGCAGAACAGATGGACAAAAGAGATGTAGCCCTGGCACCTGGGACAAGATCACTATCTAAAAAGTAAAATCAGGGTTATTCTTCATTTTGAATTGGGCATATACGTATTTCATCACTTTTCTACAAAGCCACAAAAAGCAAAATCAGAATAACTGTCTCCATAAATTCTAGACGTGTTAAAAGGATTATAGAACTGGTCACATTTTCATTTAAGACTTGGAGTGGGGATGGCCTTTCCAAGTAAGACACAACGCTAAGCCAGAGGAGAGTAACGCAGGGCTTCATGTGACAAGGATCAGAGGGAACCACGCAAGTTTACCAGCAGGGAACTGGCTAAATGTACCATGGATCAGCTTTTCCAGAGAACACGCCACAACAATGAAAAAGAACAAGGGCAGAGTTAGGGGAGCCGTAAGTGCAGAAATCTGTAAGGCAGAGTTAGAAAGTAAGCTGCCAAATAATTTGCATGGTATGACCTCATTTATGTTAGAAAAATCAAAATTCTAACTAGTTTCTACACATGTATATAAATGTAAATAAAAACATCTGAAAGAATACACTTAAACAATAAGTGTTGAATGAAGAGGAAACCTACTATGATTGATGGGTTATTAATATAAACTATAACCTTCAGTTAACAATTTAGCAATACTGGGTATCAATTTTAACAAATATAACATAATAAAGCATATAAATAACAAGAGAGGGGAAAGGCAGGGGTAGTATGTAGGGAATTCTCTATATATTCTACTTTTTGATTAGTTTTTCTATATACCTAAAGCTATCTTTAAAAGGTTAAGTCTATGAGGCCAGGGGTTCAAGACCAGCCTGAGCAATATGGTGACACCTTGTCGCTACATTAAAAAAAAAAAAATTAGTTGGGTTTTGTATCATGCACCTATGGTCCCAAGCTACTCGGGCTGCTGAGGTGGGAGGACTGCTTGAGCCTAGAAAGTTGAGGCTGCAGTGAGCCATGACTGTGTGCCACTGCACTCCAGCCTGGGCCACAGAGCAAGACGCCATTTCCCAAAAAAAAAAAAAAAAAAAAAAAAAGGTCAGGCGTGGTGGCTCACACCTGTAATCCCAGCACTTTGGGAGGCAGAGGTGGGCAGATCACTTGAGGTCAAGCAACTGAGACCATCCTGGCCAACATGGTATCCACTAAAATACAAAAATTAGCTGGGCGTGGTGACGCACGCCTGTAGTCCCAGCAGGAGGCCAAGGCAGAGAATCGCTTGAACCCAGGAGGTGGAGGTTGCAGTGAGTCAAGATCACGCCACTGCACTCCAACCTGGCAACAGCGCAAGACTCTGTCTCAAAAAAAAAAAAAAAGCCAAAAACTGGCTGGGCATGCTGGCTCCTGCCTGTGATCCCAGCACTTTGGAAGGCAGAGGCGGGTAGGTCACGAAGTCAAATCAAGACCATCCTGGCCAACATGGTGAAACGCCGTCTCTACTAAAAATACAAAAAATTAGCCAGGTGTGATGGTGCGTGCCTATGGTACCAGCTACTAAGGAGGCTGAGGCAGGAGAATCACTTGAACCCAGGAGGCAGAGGATGCAGTGAGCTGAGAGCGCACCACAGAGCTTCAACAGAGCAAGACTGTCTCAAAAAAAAAAAAAAAATCCCTAAAAACTTAAGTCTATTAGTTATGGGGTGTGGGAGCAGGAGGAAGAAACAGCATTCATTAGCGCCCCTTGAGAACTATGGGCCACCTCTGCTCACTGGACTGCTAAATAAAAGAACCTCAGGCTCCAGCATTACTGTCACTGTCATTCAGAATCAAGTGCTGCATTCACGAAATCTAAGGAGAAAGCAAAGTGCCAGGGGAAGAGGCAGCAATGTGCAATGGTTTTTACACTTGTTCCCAGCGATTTGCAGAAAAAAGCAGGTGCACCGAGTGATCCTCCAAGTCACTTTTCTTTTCCAAGTAGGAACTCAGAAGTTTGCCAATTTCAGTTGATCTTTCTAGAAAAAAAAGAAAAACACACAAATTACAAGTGAGGTCAGGCTTTCCCTCTACATTACAATATAGTTTGGGCTGAATCTCTCCTGGATTGAAGTCTCACTTTGAGTTTAACTTTACTAAATCTCTAGACACGTTTGGACCTTCTGCGGAAGCCAAAGGAATTTCTCAGAAAGAACAGCAATGTGCAGACAAGCTGGATGAAAAACGCTTTAGGAAAAATGAGCTCGGGTAGAAAACAGAGACTGCAAAGAAAGCATTTATAAAGTCTGCGAACTGGCTGGCCTAAAATTAAGGTCAACGCTTTACTTGAAAACTTTTAAATATATGCTGTAAAACCCACGAAAGCACGAAGAAAGAAAACACAACACCGAAAAGCCCATGAAAACGAGACGCGGATTACAAAAGAGCTGGAGAAAACTTTTGGGGCGAGACCACGGTTTCGCGCGGGTTTACACGTCAGGCGTCACCAAACCCTGCACTTCGAAGACGCGCGCCTGTGGTCCCGGCTACCCGGAGGCTGCGGCGGGAGGATCGCTTGAGCCCGGGAGGTCGAGGCTGCCGTGAGCCGAGATGGCGCCACCGCACTCCAGCCCGGGCGAGAGCGAGAGCCCGTCTGTTAAAATGAAAACCGCGCAGCTGACAGCACGTCGGCGACAGGCAAGGGAGCGGCGCAAAGAGCCGCCGAGAAGGCCGAAGTGCCTAAGGCCGCGGCGCACCCCCGGCCCCGCCGCGCGCACCCACCCGGGAAGCGGAGCAGCTCGGCGCGGTGGCCCAGCGCGCACAGCGCGTCCACCAGCTTGCGGCTCTGCGTGCTCTTCCCCGCGCGGTCCACGCCCTCCAGCACGATGAGAGCCCCGCGCCGGGCCGCCATCGTCGCCCGCCGCCCGCCGCCGACGTCTCCACGCCGCCTGCCGGAGCCCCCATTGGCCGGCGTCAGCAGCGCGCGCCGTGATTGGCTGGGATTTCCCGGCGTGGCCGGATTTGAAGCGATTCGCCGGGGCTGGAGCGAGGGCGACGCGCCGTGGGACCGACGCCCGCGCCTGCGCCTGCGCCTGCGCCCTGGGCCGCGCCGCCGCCGCGCGGTTCTGGGCTTCCAGGCCGGAAGCCGGTGCGTCGTGTCCCGCGCGGGCCTCCGTCCTCGGGCGCGCAGGGCCGTTTGCCCCAGAGCCGGTGACGCCGCGCGGGCTGGGCGGGCGGAGACGCGGGTCGGGGCGCGGACGGGCGGAGCGCGGGGTCGGAGGGTTCCCCGAGCGCGGCCCCAGGGCAGGGCCTCAGCAGGGCGCCTCCGGAGCGCACCTGGGGCCCGGCCCGACCGCGTTCTGGAAACGCTGTGTGTGGCGGAGCAGGGGCGAGACGCGGCCGTAGACACCGGCCAGCCCCGTGCCCTTGTAGAAAAACCGTGGGATTGAACGTTCCCCGTCGTTCCTGAAGCTCAAAACGCAGCGCTCCGGAAAGTCCGCTTTAAAAGATGACGTATGCAAATTACAGCACGGATAGAGAAGGGGCCGTGTTTCCCTTGCGTCCTCCACCTCCCCTGCACGCCGCGCGTGATGGTCAGAGGAGAAGCTGCCGTGGAGCGGCGGGCAGAGCCCCACGAGGTGTCCCTGGCCTCTGGACAGCGCTCCGCGATGCTCGCTGTTGTCAGGGATATTCAGGCTGCTTGGGCAGCTCTCAGCTGAGACTCTGCTACGTTAGATCTCTGAAACACCGCCGTCTGTGTGTGCCAGCTGGTCAGGTGTCAGCTAAACATCGCTTTCTCTGCTTAGCAGAAGAAAAGGTAGGAACTGCATTTCCCGGAATCATCTGTGTAGCCCTGGGTCACAGTCTGCCAGAGAGAGGCCGTCGTGCAGAATTTGGAGGTGGTTATTCTTGGGAGGCACTCTCGGCCAGAAATGTAAATGAAATTCAAGGCTGCTTGCTTGCTTGCTTCCTTTCTTTCTCTCTGTCGAGACAGTCTCGCTCTGTCACCCAGGCTGGAGTGCAGTGCTGTCCACTTCCCAGGTTAAAGCGATTCTGCTGCCTCAGCCTCCCAAGTAGCTGGCATTACTGGTGCCCGCCACCACGCCTGGCTGATTTTTGTATTTTTTATTTTTTTGAGACGGAGTTTCTTGTGTCCCAGAGTGAAGTGCAGTGGTATGATCTCAGCTCACTGCGACCTCTACCTCTTGGGTTCAAGCAATTCTCCTGCCTCAGCCTCCTAAGTAGCTGAGATTACAGGCGCCTGCCACCATGCCCAACTAATTTTTGTGTTTACAGGGTTTCACGATATTCGCCAGGCTGGTCTCCAACTCCTGGTCTCAGGTGATCCATCCACCTCAGCCTCCCTAAGTGCTGCGATTAGAGGCCTGAGCCACTGCACCTGTCCTACCCTTTCTTCCTTGACATCAAGCTTAGCTGTGAGACTTCCAAATGCTAATATAAAGTGGTCAGCTGTCATGTGCCCAGTTCAGGCAGAAGCTTTAGAAGTTGTTTTGTGGTTTGGTCACTTCCCTTCTGCTCCTCAACATGAGCACAGCATGTGCACAGTGAGGGCTGATTTTTCACCCCGATCCTGTAACAAAGCCACTGTAGCTGATGGATAGCACCAGCAAGAAGTAAACCTTGAGTCACTGAGACTTCAGGATCCTTTGATTTCACAGCACAACCTATCGAACTCTTATAAGTATTAAGAATGGTACTTATTATTCTCTTACATAGATAAGTAATAAAAGTAATATCCTTTCTTCTGATTGATGTTGCCTTATAAACTATCATCTTGTTGCCTTCCAAAGGATGAAGGGGATTGTAGTAAGGGAGACCACCTTCCCAGGACTGGGCATGGCTGCAGTACTGCCTTGTCATATCCAGGAGGACTCAGAGGTGGATGAGGAGGAAGACAGTGCCTCCGCCTTGGTGGATGCGTCGCTATCCTGGCTTCCCTGGGACGGGGAAGGAGGGTGAAGATGGAGGAAACCTGTCTGGCTGGGCCTTGTGTACCGGAGGGGGAGGGCCCTTTTGACTGCAGGAATTGATCAAGCACATAAGCACCTTGAAGTATGTTATTAAGATACAAGAAACACTTTTCCTTTTGCCTGTTCCATCATGGTGTGCCCTTCTCAGGCTGCCTTTAAGCACAGGTAGAATACCAGCCAGCCCACTGTGTCTTGGAGCATTAAGATATTTAGAGGAGGCCGGGCGCGGTGGCTCAAGCCTGTAATCCCAGCACTTTGGGAGGCCGAGGCGGGTGGATCACGAGGTCAAGAGATCGAGACCATCCTGGTCAATATGGTGAAACCCCGTCTCTACCAAAAATACAAAAAATTAGCTGGGCATGGTGGTGCGTGCCTGTAATCCCAGCTACTCAGGAGGCTGAGGCAGGAGAATTGCCTGAACCCAGGAGGCGGAGGTTGCGGTGAGCCGAGATTGCGCCATTGCCCTCCAGCCTGGGTAACATGGGTGAAACTCCGTCAAAAAAAAAAAAAAAAAAAAAAAAAAAAGATATTTAGAGGGCTGGGTGCAGTGGCTCATGCTGGTAATCCCAGGACTTTGGGAGGCCGAGGCAGGTGGATCAGGAGGTCAGGAGTCCAAGACCAGCCTGGCCAAGATGGTGAAACTCCGTCTCTACTAAAACTACAAAAATTAGCTGGGTGTGGTGCCAGGTGCCTGTAATCCCAGCTACTCCGGACACTGAGGCAGAGAATGTCTGGAACCCAGGAGGCAGAGGTTGCAGTGAACCGAGATGGCGCCACTGCACTACAGCCTAGGCGACAGAACGAGACTCCATCTCAAAACGAAGAAAGGTATTTAATGATGTGACATTATATGAAGTCCAGTGTTAGGCAGGCAGGAGCTGCTCCCGTGACTCAGTGGCATCAAGCTGGTCCATACCCAAGCAGTTCTTTTGGTGTTCTCATGTGATCACAGATGACTGTGGCACCCAGCCTGCTGACCACAGCCCTGACGCGAGCATGGGAGGGTCTCTGTGGCTGAGCATCCGGCCTCCTTACTGCCACTCTGACAATGTCAGGCATGATTTCCAGCACTGTCTGTCCTGGAGTAATTGGAGTAAGAGCCACTCCATAAGACCCTGGAGGCCTGGTAGGCGAGTATGTCCCCTTCATGGGTGAAATGGTGGGATGCTGGGGCTGTGTGGTCAGAGGTATAGGTGAAATAGAGTTGGCCACAGGTTGATAGTTGCAGAAAGATGCGGGTGGACATATGGGTTCATTAGGTCCTCTGCTTTTTTGTTTTTTGGTTTGTTTGTTTTTTCTTGAGACAGAGCCTGGCTCTGTTGCCCAGGCTGGAATGCAGTAGTGCTTAGCTTGCTGCAGCCTCCACCTCTGGGGTTCACATGATTCTCCTGCCTCAGCCTCCCGTGTAGCTGGGATTACAGGCATGTGCCACCATGCTTGGTTAATTTTTTGTATTTTTAGTAGAGACAGGTTTTCACCATGTTGGCCAGGCTGGTCTCTAACTCCTGACCTCAAGTGATCCACCCACCTTGGCTTCTCAAAGTGCTGGGATTATAGGCCTGAACCATTATATGTATATAAAGGAAACTGTCACTAAAAGCATTATAAAATTAGTTAAGGAAGAGAGGAAGGGAAATGGAATAACGGAGCTTGCAGCGTATGCAGCACCAGTCATGCTGTGAGCACCTCTGAGCTGGTGCCTCTTGACTCAGAATCAGGTAGACTCTGTTAAAAGATCACAGTTACCCATAACTGCTCCAGAGATAACAGCTTGAACATTATGAAACCTTAACTTTCCCCTTTGAGATGATTCCTTTTTTATTTTAATGAGACAGGGTCTCACTGTTGTTCAGGCTGGAATGCAGTGGCACAATCATAGCTCACTGCAGCCTCGATCCTCCTGCCTCAGCGTCTGAAGGATCTGGGACTACAGATGCACTACTTGGCTTTTTTTTGTCGGGGGGAGGAGTATTGACAGGGGTCTTGCCCTGGTGCCCACCACGCCCGGCCTGAGATATTCTCTCAGGTCCTGCATACCAGTGAAAGTGCTGATGCCAGCTGGTCTGAAGGACCCCACAGGAGCTGACTCACCGAGGAATGCAGTTTCCACGTTCTGATGAATCATCCTCCTCACTGTCCAATCAGCAGCCCCCATTTTCCAGCCCCTCACCTCCCATGATCCCCTTAAAAACCTTAAAAACATCGGCTCAAGGGCCAGGCGCGGTGGCTCAAGCCTGTAATCCCAGCACTTTGGGAGGCCGAGGCGGGTGGATCACAAGGTCAAGAGATCGAGACCCATCCTGGTCAACATGGTGAAACCCCGTCTCTACTAAAACTACAAAAAATTAGCTGGGCATGGTGGCGCATGCCTGTAGTCCCAGCTACTCAGGAGGCTGAGGCAGGAGAATTGCCTGAACCCAGGAGGCGGAGGTTGCGGTGAGCCGAGATCACGCCATTGCACTCCAGCCTGGGTAACGTGAGTGAAACTCCGTCTCAAAAAAAAAAAAAAACATCGGCTCAGAACTCCTCAGGGAGATGTTTTTGAGAAGAGGTCTCCTTACACCTCCTCACCCAGGTCTTATTAAACTCTTTCTCCACTGCACACCCTGCTGTCAGCATCATGGGTCTGTTACTCTGCAGCAGCGCTGCACACCCTGCTGTCAGCGTCATGGGTCTGTTACTCTGCAGCAGCCACACGAAAACTGTTGGTCTTATCACATGGGGACCTCATTTAAACTCAGCTCTTTAAGGGCCCTATCTACAAACCATCACATTGGGGGTCAGGGCTTCCACACAGGAATTTAGAAGGACACAGTTGAGTCCATGACCTTGCCTGCTCCCAGGAGCGTCAGCTTGTGCTGGTAAGCACTGCTCTGCTAAACTCCCAGCCCTCACAGATAGATGTGGCCAGGTAACTAAGATGCCATGAATGAAACGCTAGCAGATGTGGCATGCGGACCTTCAAACAGCAGGCTTCCATCCCCCACGCTCCCTGACACACCCCTTGTTGCAACCCAGCCTTGACCAGGCAGATGACGGCAAGGCCCTTTGTGGACAGACACTGAACTAGAAGGAATCTGGGTCTCTGAGTGACCCCACGGAGTGTGCTG